AGAAGAATATTTCAAGGGCTTTTTTTCCCAACAACTTGTATTTAAAATACAAGGATCTTGGAGCTTGGTTAGACCTAAATCATTAGGTGAACATAAAGTTCATCAATATAGACAGATCTCAAAATTAGATCAGATCGCTATTTACATCCTTTCTGTCCATGATTTCAACAGGGAAAATAAAATTTCAGCAATCCAGATTAAAATGCAGCTAACCTAGTAAATCAGTGATGGTATAATGTTCACAGCACAGTTTCCTGTATGCTTATGACATCTTACCAGTTAAGTATATTCTTAACTTAAGACTTCCAGGTACAATTACAGGTGTCATGTTTAAGCTCTGTAATGGTACAAATGCTGGCTACTTAAGACAGCTGCTGCTGTTATCATGTCCTATTACTAGCTGGAAAACACAGAGTTGTTTCCAGAATTCATCCTGTGACAGATGTTAGGAGTGACAAACTTTGTGCATCTTATTTCTCTAATGCCTATTAATCTTAAACAACAATATAAGTCCTATCTGTTTGTCTAGGTTTTACCTGAAGAGGTAAACTAATATTAATACTGCATTATTAGAGGAAAATTATTCATTTATTTGTTGGGCAAAACCACTGTGCTGTATGTGAACCAGATAAACAGTTCATTCAGCTTGAGAAAGCTCAGATAAGACTAAGCACTAAAAGTACTGGATCTTTCTCTGTAAATGTCTCCTGAGGAATCAACAATATAAAAATATGGATTTCATCACATAATTTCATTGTGATTTTGGCTGACCTTTTCATTTAAAATAATCTTATTTTTAGTGCATGTGTTTAGTGAGTTTGGTCATAATCTGTATAAATGATTAGTAAGTAAAAAATTTAATGAGACATTTTTATGGGTTTGCAACTGACTCATAATTCAATCTTCAGTGCCATTGATTTTTAAAAGGTCTTACATAACAGAATCCTAATTTCACTTATAAGATTTCCAATAATTTACATAAATAATAGCATATGAAGATCTTATTCTCCATTTCTTCAGATCTTTCCTCAAAACTTATCTCTGCCATGGTGCCCAAAATAATAGATTATCAAAAAAGATTGACAGTTGTTTAAGTCAATGTTTTTCTCCTCTCAGTATGATGTGGTTTTCACGTGTCTTTTTGTTATCACACGTGCAATTTTATTAAGTATTATATTCGAGGTAAAGCTGATCTGAAAAATATGTGGGAAGCCCCAAAGAATACAAAGCACAACCAAACTCAGAAAAGCTGAGTTCTGCACAAGACAGACTCTTAGCTAACTGTTCTAAAATAGGACCAGGCTTTGGACACTCAAAGGATGAACAAGAAAGGCTAGAGACAATTTCATAGTGAAATGAAAATTCATCTTACATTGATTTCATAGAAGTTAGATGGAACAGTACTGAAGACTGCCCACAGCCTAGTTCTTTGTACGTTGTAGTTGTAATACTTAAAGCAACAGCATTTCCAACTGTCACCTGAAAAAAAAAAAAAGGAAGTTTGTGTCCTCTAATATGTCTAGGCTTTATTGTAACTACTTTAGCAATATTGTTCAAGTTCTAAGCAAATGAAACATTTCATTCCAAGAAAATTATTAGAAGCCAGACAAAATGACTCAATCTGTTTAAAACTAGGCATTTCCTTTGGAATTTTTTGCTTGATATCTAGTCCTGTTTATTATTCTATATAATACTCTCTCTGAAAGAGGAGCTGTTTCTCAGCAGAACTTTGTCCAATAAAAAGAAAATATTTCAATTCAGCATTGATAGTATCACTTAAGAAGATGAACATAAAAACAGTGAAGAGTAAGCTAAGCAACGAACATAGTGGGGGCAAAGTATGTGGGACTGGAGGAAAATAGAAATCCAATTTAAGCTAAGTTGCTGAGAAACACTTATAAAACTGACACAGAAAGGAGTTCTTCAGTCCATACACCTTAACATAGTCAAGACATTTTCTTTCATTATATAATTTAAACTACACCACTGACTATTTTCAAACTTGTGGTCACATGGACTCTTACATAACTAAGTTAGCCTAATGTACTTAAAGTATGATTTCTAGAAGGCTACTTAAACCACAAAGTGAATTAAGCCAAATTAAATCGAGGTCACATTAACTCTGAAAGAGGGCATGCATAGAATGTATCAATGTGGTCCAACTGATCCTCACTGAATGACTGACTCGGCCACTCATATGTCCCTGGTAGACAAAATCCAGCAATTGAAGACATGTAAGGGTAGATGACAAAAGTGTGCTCCATAGGCTTCCCCTAAAGTGAGACCTATACCACTGATAATCTACTAGGGAGTTGTGACAGAGAAAAATACATTTTTGCACTGTCATTCCTCCAGCTGGGTCCAAAAGAACATTAAGCCCTTGTTAGATGTGCCCCTCTGGGGGCAGATGTTAAACTTGCAGGTGGTTTCCAGTGACCCAGAAAAGCCTTCTCAATTTGTTAAAATGCACTAGTCTAGGGTTCTAAAGTCAAGATGGGAAAACAAACTTAATACCTATGGCCAGGCTGGCAGCATTTCTCCCTTTTCAGGTCATGAGTGTGAGAGAGCAGGTGAGTGCTGCAGCTGATCTGTTACATCACCTAATCCTGGCTCTGGCAAGCCCAAAGAGAAATAATAGTAAACAGGGAAGTCTATAAATGGCTCCAGAAATGACATCTTGTTTTTATATAGTTTTCTTTGAGTCGTTAACAGTCAGGCGCCACTACTACTGAAACGTATCGTTATTAAAACCACAAATGGGATCAGTGTCCAAAAGGTTTCCCTTAGCTGTCTGAAGGAAATAGCAAAGTCTAACCCTTAGAGACCAAAGAGTAACAAGTGAAAAAAAAACCCAGAAACTGGAGGGATATTGGAATGTAGTATTTAAAATTGGACTTTAAAGGCCTCTTGTAAATCAGTGCTCCGGATACTGATCAAGGATAAATTGTGGATTACAGAAATGGTTTAAACAACATAAAAGAAACACAATCTATGGAAGGCTCCTACCAGCTCAGCTGACCAGCATTATGGAAAAGGTTTTTAGATTTGGCTTTTGAACACCACTGAAACTGCCTGGACAATGATAAATGACTGCTTGTGAAAAGAGAAATCTTGATGCTAGTGCAGGAAGTGTGCTCTTGAATATAGTGATCACAAGAAGTCTATCAAATTCCATTTCTCCTCTCCAACAGTGGCCTAGAACCAGATACCTCACTGAAAAGCTCTAGAAACCCTAAACTGTGCAGTTATAGGATAGATATCATGTTAGGAAAAATATTTTCAAAAACCCCACTAGTCAGATAATTGGCTTCATCATGAAGTAGGATACTTTGTGTACCTACAGATGTGTTCTTTTTTTCCCTATGCTTTTATGCGTAATAACATAATACTTTGTTTTCTCATTCTGCTTGAGTATATCTACTTCCTTTCTAAATTCTGCTGAATTCCTGGCCTCAAAAATATCTTGTGTCAATGTATTCTATGATCTAATTGTATCTATTATTTAAAAAATCCTATCCTTAAATTTATGGCTTATCACAAACTGCAAAACTGAACACATTGGAATTCTGAATGAGTTTCATTGTAGCAAAAATAATTTTAGATAGCATCATTTCATATGTTATGCTTAGCCTTTTTAAGACAGTCTTACATTTTTCCAGTCATTCTTCATGCTGGAGTGTCTCATTGTCTACTTCCTAAATTATTCTCTCTGCCCATCCTTGAAATATGTGTATCTAAGCCATATGCTTTTAAAGACAGAACAAAGAGAAGTGGTCCAGATAATTTTGTGGGGGATATTAATAGTTAAGTTATAACATCCTGTTTGCCCTTTTTAACTGTGGTTTCTTTGAGTATAGATTAAAGCTGAGTTACCAATAGTCACCTTCAGCTCTTTCCTCCAGTGGAATAAAGGTAGGTTATATGCTTGTACAAGTGGTTAATTTAATTTCTGTTCCTTTGCATTTGTCATTAAAAACATAGACAACTCTTCCAGCCCCCTCCCTTTTTTTTTTTTTTTAATTCCCAGGATTACATCTTGGGCTGGTATTTTTCTAATGGTGATGGAAGAAACTGCAAAGTAATTTGGGAATTTTATCCCCATCCACTTCTGGGAAAGAGGAGCCCAGCAGGCTTGCTTCCAGCCATATGAAGAGCTCTGCCTCTCCCACATTCCTGGGACAAAGGCCATTCCCAGACAAGCTTTCAGACAAAAACCAAAAGAACCCTGTGGCTCAGGACTTTGCTGCTCGTTTTTACTTGCATGTACAGCAGGGACAATTCCTGTTCCCCATAAGTCCCTCTCCTGAGCACAAGGGTTGCAAAAATTCCAGCACGGTAGTGGTATGGACAGAAGGACACAACTGTAAAGGATCTCTTTAGTCACCCTGTCAGTCCCTGCACTCTGAGACAAGGTTGCTACACAGTGAACTTCATTAGTTCATTAACCCAGCAAAGTGGTCACAGCACCAAGCCTGGCTGAGTTCAAGAAACGTTTGGACAACACTCTCAAGCACATGGGGTGTCCTGTGCAGGGCCAGGAGTTGGACTCGATAATCCTGACGAGTTCCTTCCAACTCAGCATATTCTGTGATTCTATGATTTGAAGTTATTACAATTCACCTTCAAATTAAGGTCTTTCCCCCAGAGCCGTAGTGCTAATAGCCCCTGGCAGTAGACACCTTCTGATTTCCAACCTAAATCTAACCAGAATGACTTTACACTCCTCTTGCCATTTCGGTTCTTCAGCTTGACTCGCTCTTCTCCCTCTGAGGTGCCCCTCGGCCCTGGAGCAGCTGCCCCGGCATTGCCCCCACCGCCTCCTCCTCACAGCCTGGCCGCCATGCTCCCCACAGCCCCTTCCCCAAGGCCATGTCACCATGCTCCTCCCAGAGACCCTTCCCACGAGGTCTCTCGGGGCTCCCACCCCTGCCCCAGCCCCTGTGGCCGCACAGACAGCCCGGGGACGGCGGGAGGGGACTGAGGCCGGGCGGGGGCGGATTTGGGCCGGAACGGTGGCGGCGAAGGGCGTGTTCCCAGCCGGGGCGAGCGGCCGAGCAGCGCCGGGAGCGTCGGGCGCCTTGGAAACGGGCGGAAGCTGGGAAGGAGCGGCGGCGGGAGGAGCAGGAGCAGGAGCAGGAGGAGGATGCTGAGCCCCGACCGGCTCTCGCTGCCCGGACCTGAGTACCTGGGTGAGGAGCAGGGCGGGGAAGCGGGGCCGTGAGGGCTCCTTCCCCCGGTGTGCTACGGCCCGGCCCGGCCCGGCCCGGGGAGGGCGCGGCGGGGCCGGAGTGGTTGCGGCCCGGCCCGGCCCGGCCCTCCCGGGGACTGCGGCGAGCCGCCCCAGGCTGGGCCGGGCTGGGGGGAGGGGGTCGCAGTGGCTCCGTGTTCGCCTTCTCGGCTGGAGAGGGGGCAGCAGTGGGGGGTTACAGGTCGGTGTTGTAGGACGCTGCTTCTCCGGGTACTCCCGGAGGAGGGAGAGCTGCGGAGCTCTCTTGGGCATAGGGAGCATCCCTCCGGTGCCCTGAGGTGTGGCTTCTGTGAAAACAGCGCCGGCCGGAGGGAAGTGAGCTGCGGTCTCCTCCCCTGTCCCGTTCCACGGTGTCAGTGGTGGCAAGCAGTGTTAAGCTACCCTGTGACAGGCTGGAGCCTCATTTCACCCACTGCCAACCTGTTCTGCTCCCGGATCTCTGTGAGCATCCGTATTTTGTGCTCGTTTCCCTACACAGGAAGGAGTGCAGGGAGATGGTTTGAATGTCGGCTTCTGTTCTGAAATAGCGTAGTGTTGGTAGTATTTCCCACATAAAATGAAAATCTTTTAACCTGTGAGGCAGCCACTCCATTGAAGACTACACCCATTTAAGCTCGCTGTAACTGTTTCATGTTCCAGGAAACTGTGAGGCAAAGTGATTTGGTATTATTGTGTCAAATAAAAATAATTAGGATGGAATAAAGTCAGTATGACTTCATTTAATCACTAAAGAGGAGATGAATTACAAGAAGTAAGCATTTGGAATGTGTTCAAGAGAGTATTTGTGAAGTGAAACTCTTCAGCCATTGCTTTCTAGGCCCAAGAGGCTGTTTGGTAATAACTCTTTTAAAAGTGTGCATAATTAATTGTGCCTTTCTTGTACAAGGACCGGTCAGAAATTGAATGGATTGGTTTGTGCTACTTGTTCCATCATGATTTTGCTGTCTCTGGTAAGTCAAAATGGAACAAGAGCAGAGAAACACTGCTGGCTTACAGTAAATGGAAAACCTGTCTTGCAGGGACCAGACTAAAAGAGCTTGGCTTGTTTAGCCTAGCAATAGTGTCTAAGAGGAGGGGTCCCACTGTATTTCAAAGCATATCTTAGCAATAAAGAGAAATGAATTCTTTAAGCAAAGGAATGAATGATCTAATTTACCTTGGAGTAGAATCTCATTGTGCTGTTACTGGTTGGCTGTGGTTAGGGTACTCTGCATACCTACATAACTGCAGTGCTATTGTGTGTCAGGGAAACTCAGGGCAGAAATAGGTTGGTTTAGTGCTCAATTTGGGGTGATTCTCATGAGACTCACTTTGCTGAAGCTCTTATTACTGATTTCAGTTCTGGAACTAGTTCAGGTGTTTGAGAACAGTATCACAGTTCCATGCAGATACACCCTTTGGTTTTGTGCTACTCCATCACACTACATCAGCATTTCAACCTACACATTAAAAGAGAGGTTCATAACTTTTCCAGAGTTGCTCTAGGTTGAAATTTGCAAAATTTCTTTTATTTTTTTCTAATAAGCCAAGTTGGTTTTAGGTTCATTTAATTGTTTTTAATGAAATAGGCACTTGAAACTTGTCAGTAAGGATTGAATCACTCAAAATGATCTAGGAAGCAGACTAAAAATTCTTAAAATGTAAGAATAAATCAGTTTTCTGTTTCACATCTGAAGTTGAGAAATGAGACTTCTAAGAGATGTGAAAGATTGCTAGGTGCAAGCAGCTTTACTAGTCACTTAAATGAGCCTCCTTTTATCTTTGTTCCACATGCTGATTTGGAATGACTTTTTCATTTTGTACAACCTTCTAAATTATTCTGATATCAGGGTCAGAAAAAGATGCATGTGTGTTGAGGAATAACTTGTATAAGAGTCTGTTCGGTTCATCACTTGGTATGACCTTCTAGTTTAGATTGCAATATCTGTTGTCTATTAGAGAGGAAAAAGTGTTTGCTACCTGATGGTGTTGTATTAGCTGTAAGTATTACCAATAACAATGCTTCTGTCTTTGTGAGACTTTGTAACTTACCAAACTGCTCACAGATCCTAAGCAAAGCATTGTGTATTAGCTGCAGGAAAGTGGTTAAAAAACAAAGAACCAAACCCCAAGCTCCCCCTCCCCTCTAAATAAACGTACCTCTCCATGTGTTTTTTGAAGTTGCCTTTATGTTTTCTACATGGACCTGGCATTCTGAAATCACCATTATTTGAATTTGTTCTATTGTGTGCCTCGAAGCCTTGTTAATATAGTTGTCTGAAGTGGGATTGTAAGCAACTGTGATAACTTTCACTTTCTATAATTTCATTCTGAAGTTCTGTTGCCCTAGGCTGCCACATAAGTTATTCTCTGTGTCTCCCAGATCAGACGTCACTTTTCTGACCAAGCATGGGCAAACTTCACCTAACCTCTTTTTCCTCTTTTCCCTTTTTCAGTATCAAAAACAGGCCAACACATAAATTGAGCAGACAAAATAACCTAACATACTACTTGGTGCATTACTCTTTTTCCCCTTTTTTTTCCTCCATTTGAGATGATTCTTCCACATCCAGGTAGAGTGCTAAGAGGGAAATAAAAGCAGTTGTGAGTTAAAATAGAAGTGAAGAGGGAGAGAATTAAGCATTCAGTTAAGATGAAAAATATTTGCAAAGCTTTGGTATGCCAGAGCTCCTGGAAAATAAAAATCAGGGCAACATCTCATGCCACAATGATTATGAGACATTGTGTAGAAGAAAAGAGATGACCAATACTCACTCAATAGGAAAGGAGATGAGGTCTGCAGAGGTGGTAGGAAGGCTACAGTGAAGATGATATTGTAACATTTAAACAGTATTTTCACTGAATAAACAACAGTTATTGTTTGGGCATAGTGATGAAAATGTGTTTCTCATTTGATGGATGAGACTGGAACTACAGCAGGCCAAATGAAGCATATTTGAGACACTTTTTCATACTTTCCTCATTATGGTTTAATAACTGATGATTGCTGAGTTATTTGTAGCAGGCAATGGAGCCCTTAGTGTATTGTTCTGCTCATGCAGCTGTCTTCTGAAGCTTTAAATTGTATTCCTTCCTCACTACCCTGTTGTGCTAGGGAGGAAAAGCAGTAGAGTATTGCATATTTCAGAACTTTTATTTTTCTCTGTATTCTCCTCTTCTCTACTTCCCGACTCCAGGATGTGCTTTCTTTTCTTCCTTTGCTGATATAAGGCACGTAAGAATGCAAATACTCTGCTAGGGAAGTGCCTAGTAAAGCATGGGACTATTAAGTGCGAGAAACATGGTTGTGTTTCCTCACCTCTCATAGAAGGTCTCAGGCTTCAATGGTTAGAAAGAACATTTGTGCATTTACAAAACTGAGTAGCTCCCAACAGAGAACTTCAGTTGTGTAGAAACTTTACAGATGCCTGGGATGTACTCTTCTTGTGAACAGTCTTAAGAAATATTGAGCTGGAAAGTCCAAGTACAATTGTTTTCTTTAACAGCATAATCAATGTATAGGCTACATTTTTATCCAGATATCTCAGCTGACACTGAGTCTCCTCCTAGCAGCAGGAAATTTGATGAGCTTCTATGAAGCAGTCTGGCTGAAAGAACTCATGGTCTGAAAAAAGAGAAGAGAATGCCTTTTTTTTTTCTTGTTCTGTTGTACAGATAGAACTGTAATGTGGAAGATGAAATTATTTCCCCACTGATATGTGAGAGTTTGCTTATAGAAATATTAGTTAAATTTGAATACTCTTAGACTCTTAGACCTCCAAAAGATGGAGGTTTCATCCCCAAAGCTGCTGTTACACCACAGGACTTCCATCTTAACTTGAAAGGTACAGGTGAAATCTGATCCTGACCTATGTAGAGTTCCAGAACTGGAGAGTACACAGTCCTTCTGCATATATCCTTCTAAGTATGAATAGGTAGGGAACCATTAGGCTACTTAATACCTTATAACAAGCTGGAGTGACAGTTACTTCCACAATGTTAATAATTACACTGCATAAGTTTAGATTAAAAAAAAAAAAACACCCAAAAGAAAAGATAGCTCAAAGATTGCTTTGGTGAGGTGGTGATTTCTGGCAGCTGTGTGACATCGTGCAGGAGGTGTCTGCTGGAAGGACTTGGGCAGTTAAGTCAGTCTGTGTGCAGCCCCAGAAGCACAAACCAAAAGAGTACAATATCATGGCTTGTGACCAATATGCTGATTGTTTGAAACAAATTTTCAGTTATGGTCAAGATTAAATTATAAATGGAAACATTTCTTAAATTTTTTGTTGAAAGTGGGTTTGAAACAGTGAACACACAAAATATGGTGTAGTTGTGCTGTGTGGCCACTTGGCATGCGTTCCCAAATAACAGTGCATGTCTCACATTGTAGTGTTATCTCTGGTATGACAACACGAGATATGACAAGGTCTACTTGCACTTTGTTAAGTGTTCTGTCCTTCAAAAAAGATTTTGTTTTTGAGGGTTAATAGGAAATTACATTGTGAAGCTGTGCTAAGCTAGACAGAACTACAGCTGTTCAGTGATACAGCTTTTAGGTTGATTATTTTGTTTATATACTTCTCTTGCTCAGGCCATTTCTTAGCAATATCTGAAGAGATTAAGACCCTAATGATATCTGAAAAGATTAAAAAGAACATCCTGAAAGACTATGAATGCTGGAAAAACTTCCAGATTTCACGTGATTTCGTTCTTTAAGTATGCATCCTTACTATTTCTCTCTTGCATCATTATTGTTTTGGTAATATTTGCATGAAATTGATTTTGTGTTCCTATTGATGTGTCTTTCCAATGTGTGTAATACAGTAGTGTCTTCAGATAAGCTCCAATTTAGAGTAAAATCTGAAAGGGAATTTGGCTATTGCTTTATGCTCTCAGAGATCAAAAAATGCCAGAAATATTTCAGATACATTAAAGCTTGTTATGCTCTTGAGCTTCTGA